GGCTCTGAGCTGTCAGCACCAATCCCCACGCGGGGCTTGAACTCACGAGTTGCGAGGTCATACCTAGGCCCAAGTCAATGCTTAACCGACCAAGCCACCCAGATGCCCCCACCATATGGTTTTTTAAATGCTCATATCTACACCACCTAAAATCACGCCACACTTAAGGCAACACTGCCCTGAATTACATCTGATGCCACCAAGGCACTCACCATGCTGGACCCAAGCTTTTAGTTCTTACTCAGGAAGGGCGTGACTCCAGAGGCACCTGGGTGGCTCGTGTCTGACTCCTGATTTCAGCTCAGGTCATAATCTGACGACGGTTCATGAGCCTGAGCCCTGCATCAGGCCCTGCGCTGACAGCGTGAATTCTGCTTGGGATTCTCTCTTTCTCCCTCTCTCTCTGCCCTGCCTGCAGGCTCTCTTTCTCTTTTTCTCTCAAAATAAACAAACAAACTTAAAATTTAAAAAAAAATTTTTTTTTTAAATAAAGGAAAGGCATGACTTCAGTCCTGTGAACAGGTTCCTTCAAGAACACTTTACAACTCATATACCAGAACTCAGCACCTCTCCCTAAGCGAGAGCAGGAGCCACATCCTGCCTGGACTTTCTATCACCTGGGGTGGGACCCCAAGCCCTGGTCCCTGGTGAAATAGTAGAGGCAGCCCTTCTGCAGTCAACAAATGGCCTTACCCCCCAAACTAGTATTTTCCACTTGAACAGTCTGTTCAACTCTGTCTTGAGCCAGGACTCTCTGTGCCACTACCCTAAGCCAAGGGTCCCTTGTCACTCAGAGCAAACAGTTTCTCCAATGAGCCCAGCACCCACACAGGGATCCTAACGTGTGAGATCTGTCACTTCACCCTTCTGCCTCACCACCTGTCAGCATCCCCCAACTTCACCCATAGCTTTTCCCATCACCTCTGCAGCCTGGGTATTAGAAGCTTTTCCGGTGAGAGACGCAAAGGTGCAAGGCACATGGGAGGGACAGTGACTAGGCAAACCTAATGTTGGGAGGTGGAAGAAGGAGAGGCCGTGGGTTCCTGGTGCGGTCACTGTCTCTGACTGAAGGCTGATGGCATCTTGCATCCTACAGGCTTCAGAAGGACCTAGATGCTTCCAGCACTCATCTGTTACAACCACACGCTGGGGGCTTCCTGTGCAGGCAGGTAGGTTGAGAGGCTTTGTCTTTCTATTATAGAATCTGAATTAGGCTTTTTTTTTCTTCAATTAAGCATATTCGTTCCCCAAGTGAAGAGTGATTGGATTATCTTTGAAAGACTAAGAAGATGCTAATGTGAGTTTGCTCTCAGAGTCTATGTTCCAATTTCTATTTTACCTCTGAGAGCCCCACATTCCTGACGTTTTACAGACCTGTTAGGAAATATCTTGACAGGACCTACCAGGAATCCCTAATCATGGAAAGAAAAGTACTATAAAAACATCTTCGCTTATTGCTTCTTAAATCACAAGTATGGAAACCAGAGTTTATAAGAAATGTAAAGGGAGGAAGGGCAGTCAGATCTAAGTGGGGCCCGTGGGGAGTTATTGTGTATGGCTCCAGAAACAAAGTCAACAAACTTCTGTTTTAATCCTACCAAATGTTTACGACATGTTTTTCCTGAATTATGTATTAGGTGATTTCCATTCTTTTAAGTAAAACTGATGACCTTGCAGTGATTATTAAAAAAAAAAAAAAAAAAGAAAGAAATTAAGGCCTTTTGTCATTGCTACCTAAAATATAAATATTTGTAAAATGTGCCAACTAGGCAGTTTTGAACATGATTTTAACTGGAAGAGCAAGTCCGAATGTCTTCAATGGCTGTCAGAAAGGAAAGTCTCAAGAAATATTGCACGGGGTCCTGACCCGCAGTGACGTTGGATATTTGTGGTGGGGTAAGGACACCTCAGAGGATGACAGGCTTTCACAGGTGAGTGTGTTTTGATTCTCAACAACACAGCCAGAGTGTCAATATTTTGACTGTTTTTTAAGGTCATTATTAAGGCAATGAAAATCTGAGCTAACTTTTTCCTTTACTATATTCCTGCACATCTCCCACTCCCCACACATATGTACACCGAGAGACTTTCAGAGTCTAAATGTAAATATCTAAGTCTACTGTACTTGTGTCATATTTTATTTTATACATTTTTATGCATATAGAGGACAGGTCATACAAGTAATATGCAAATAATTTTTTGAAAAACAATACTTGAAATATAACGAGATAAAGGGAGGGTCCCCTTTATCCCCACCCAGCTTCCGGCTTCCTTCTCAGAAATCAATACTGTCAGCCACGGATGGGTATTTTCCCAATCATTTATGCAAATGAATGCATATTTTCTACCTATTGCTTAAAGATTTAAAAAAAAAAATCACTGGGGAAAAAAGGGGGCCCCCTCCTCAGGAAACTCTTCTCAAGAAGATTTCCAACTCAAAGGATCGACAACCTCTGACAACCAGAAAGTAGAATGTGCTGTTGGAAAACATAACCAGAGAATTAAGTAAGATGTGATTCTGTAAAAATAAACAGGAGAGAGGGTGAGAAAGCAAATATAACCACCCCAAACCACAAATCAAAGATGCTCCTGTGATATTTTCACAGAGATCTTCATCCTAAAACCCAGGGAAGGCGAGGCAGGTTCTGTGAAAAGCAACACTTCTCTGGAGTGGCCATGAAATTAGCTAGGATGTAATCCAATATGATGGTGAAAACGTCCCCAACCTCTCCCAATCACCAGCACTGAATGAGGGCCCTGCTGCTCAGTACCTGCCTGTCCTTCACTCTCCCAGTTGAGCTCAAAATCCCTTTCGTGTGCACAGGACTCCACGCTTTATAAGATCCTTTTATATCCAGAGCTTTGCTAGTCTTTCCCACTACTGTTGGTTCCAGCCACAATGCCTTATTCATGAAATCCATATGTCGTTACGCCTACAAAGCCATGAGTCTGATGTCATCAGAAAAGCAGAGTTTTACCACAGCAGAATTAAGTGCATTTTGCATACAGGCGTGTTTAAAAGTTTGCTTATCATTCCTTGAGTTTGAAATCTAGCCTATCATAGAAAAACGAGAAGTGACAGATAAGCTAAAAGTAAAAGAAATGAACCCAGTGTCATCACCCAGGGGTCAATCCTTTCAGAAATGCTCCCTTCTCTTTTTCTTTCTTATATAAATATGTTCTATTCTACTCTTCTGAAATCTGCTTTTCTCATTTAACACAAATATCTGTACATACAGTCAGTGAATGTATGTCCTTCATTATATTTAATGGATGCAAAGAGTTCCACCGTATGAATGTGAAAGGCCGTACTTTGAATATACCCTGGACAGAGACGGGATTTGTTATTGTTACAAAATTCCTAATCACTTGGTCCCAGATAATCTAGAAAGTCCCCTTAGAATTTGATATGTATACTAAATAGGAAAACTAAGCTACAAATAAGGGACTTACAGATTTCGTTTTACATATTTTTCTTCTTTTTCAACCACGCATGGTCACTTAATGTCCGTGGTCGAGCACTTTGTACCCATCCTAGCCCGATAATATGCCAAGACTTAGTTTGGAGAAAAATGGAGGGGTACACGGAGGACAAGTTTCAAGGAATGCGGGCACAAACACCACAATAGTAATTTTACTGCTTTGTTTATTATTACAAAGCTTTTTTCTGCTATGTCACTATATTCTTATGATCAACTACAAGAGTTAAAACAGTGTTTCTCACATTTCAGTCATTTGAGTAGGTAATTCACAGCTTTGTCATATATCCACACCTGCTCCACACTCTATTACTTGATTAATATTTTTCTTTAAATCAACTCACTTTAAAATTTTAAATGTAACCTTTTCTGCAGCGGTAATACAAGCCACAGACTTGATGTATGATTTTGTTTCTAATACATATTTTAAAAAGTATTTTAAAAATATTTTTAATGTTTATTTATTTTTGAGAGACAGAGCGAGCGAGCATGAGGGGGGAGAGGCAGAGAGAGAGGAGGATAGAGGATCCCAAGCAGGCTCTGCGCTGACAGCAGGGAGCTGATGCGGGGCTTGAACCCATGAACTGTGAGATCATGACCTAAGCCAGTTGGACGCTTAACCAACTGAGCCACCCAGGCCCCTATATGTTTTGTTTTAACGCTCATCCCTATGCCACTAACTTTCCTGCCACAGGCCACCAATCGGCACTTTGCCACACTTTGCAAACCTAGCATAAGAGTGAAGGAGTTTCTGTAACACGTGGGAAACAGCTCTGACCAGAAACCCAGGAGACAGGGTTGGAGGCTTTGCCCTGCCATCACACGGGTGTCACTTGGACCAGTCACTTAACCCCTCTCTAAGCCTGTTTCCTTATCTTACAGTAGTGTCCCAACACCTGCTCTGCCACCACAGGACTGAGGTGAACAGCGAACAAAATCATGAATGCCAAAGCCTGTTGGAAAGGCAAAATGACCTATACACGTATAAATCTACAATAGGTGATAACGAATGACACTATAGTGCTTTATTTGGCCACATTCACTCACCATCTCCTAACTGTGAAGCTCTGTGTCCAGATATGGTGATGAGTCCTACGTGAGCCAGTACCTGTATATACACTGATTACTTTGGGAAGGATAGAGGCAATACATGCTAGAGAACAGCGAGCTCAACACTGGTTGCACATTGAAATCACCTGGGGAGTTTGGGTTTTTTAACTGACTTCATTTTTTTGAGCAATTTTTTTTCTCAACAAAATTAGGCAGAAGGTACAGAAACTTCCCATATACTCCCTGCCCTCACACATGCATAGCCTTCCCCATTATCAACATCCCCCACCAGAATGGCATACTTGTTACAACTGATGAGTCTACACGGACATATCATAATTATCCAAAGTCCATAGCTTATATTACGTTACAATACTGATGTTGTATAATATATGGATTAGGACAAACTTATAATGACATGTGTCCACCATTATAGCATGATACAGAGCAGTTTCATTGCCCTAAAAATCCTCTGTGCTCCAGCTAGTCATCCCTCCCTCCCCCAGCCCCTAACAGTAACTGATCTTTTTACTGTGTCTATAGTTCTACCTTTTTTCCAGAATGTCATATGGTTGGAATCACACAGTATGTAGTCTTTTCAGATTGGCTTCTTTCACTTAATAATATATAAATTTGAGGTTCTTCCATGTCTTTTCATAGGTCAATTGCTCATTTCTTTATGGTGCTGGATAGTATTCCATTGGAATATTATAAATAATATTTAATTGACTAAATAATATTCCATTGATGTGTCACAGTTTATTTATCCATTCACCTACAAAAGACATGTTGATTGCTTCCAAGTTTTGGCAATTATGGGTAAAGCTTCTATAAACATCCATGTGCAGGTTTTTATGTGGACTTAAGTTTTCAACATCTTTAGATAGATATTACGGAGCATAATTGCTGGATACATGATAAGAGTGTTTAGTTAGGGTAGCTCAGTCGGTTAAGCGTCCCAACTCTTGATTTTGGCTCAGGTCCCATGGTTCATGGGTTCGGGCCCCGTATCAAGCTCTGAGCTGACAGTGTGGAGCCTGCTTGGAATTCTCTTTCTCTCTCCCTCACTCTCTCTCTCTCTCTCTCTCTGCCCCTCCCCTGCTCACACTTGTGTGTGCATGCACACGCATGCTCTCTCTCACAAAATAAATAAACTTAAAAAACAAAAACAGTGTTTAGCTTTTTTTTTTTTAATTTTTTTTTTCAACGTTTATTTATTTTTGGGACAGAGAGAGACAGAGCATGAACGGAGGAGGGGCAGAGAGAGGGAGACACAGAATCGGATACAGGCTCCAGGTTCTGAGCCATCAGCCCAGAGCCCGACGCGGGGCTCGAACTCACGGACCGCGAGATCGTGACCTGGCTGAAGTCGGACGCTTAAACGACTGCACCACCCAGGCGCCCCAGTGTTTAGCTTTTTTAAGAAACTGCCAAACTGTCTTCCAAAGCAACTAGGCATTCTCATGTTCCCACTAGCAATGAATGGGTTCCTGCTACCCCACATCCTCGCCAGCCTTTGGTGTTGTCAGTGTTCTGGATTTTGGCCATTCTCATGGGTGTGTAGTCATATTTCTTTGCTGTTTTCATTTTCATTTCCCTGTCATGGCCATCTGTATATTTTGTTTGATGGAGTGTCTGTTAAACTCTTTGGCCCACTTGGAGAGCTTTTAAAACTACCAATGCCCAGGTCGTCCCCCAGAACAGTGTCAGCTTCCTGTGTATTGGAGCTTTGGAGACACACAGGGCCCCGCACTCAGAAGGCCTTGCCCTTGATTTAATGCTTTGCTGTCACCACCCTAATATTCTTAATAATTTTTTAAATAAGGGTCCCTGTGTTTCCATTTTGCACTGGGCCACAATTGCCTAGCCAGTCCTAGCCAATGACCTTGTTCTGTTTGGTCTAGAGAGCATCTGAGCTTTGGAATTTTTAAAGCCCACAAGTGATTCTGACGTGCAGCCGGGTTTAGAGGCCTCTGTTCTAGAGCAGGGCTGTGAAGCCTCAGCGTGGACATTTTAGACGGATCATTTCTTTGTGGTGGTGGCTGGCCTGTGCATTATGGGCCGTTTAGATGTGTCCCTGGCCTCTACCCACTAGATGCAAGTAGCTCTGCCCTTCGATGTGACAACCAAAAAGGTCTCCAGACATTGCCCAATATTCTCTGGGGGAAAAAATTGCCCTGGTTAAGCTGATATTTAAAGGAAGGGGGAAAAAAATAATCTCATTAGACTTAACTGATTAAATCCATGTGTGTAGAATTGGAAAACTAGTTATTGCAACTAAAATTACATGAAAGAGTCTTTTCTTTCAATCGGTATCAGAAAGGTTGACAGGTTTCGCCTTCTCTGCAAGGCTTTGGGGACAAGTCTCAGACCTCATCTTAAATTAAAATTAAATAGATGTT